TTCAGACCTGACAGATGCTCTTCCAAGGTCACAGAGCTACTAAGTACTAGAGGCAAGATTCTAGCCCAAGTTTACAAACTCCAAAGTGTGTGTTCTTTTCTTAGAACACACCACACTGCTGCACAGTTGAGAGTAGTTACTATCGTGCGGTCGTAACAACAAGCAATTAGTCCTTCCAGGAATGAAGCATCAGCCCTGATGCCAGGGAATAACAGTACTTGCCGAATAAAAGAAGGAAGGCACAGTGAAGTACAGAAAGAAAGGCTCCAAGGGGACAGCCAGCCTTTCTCAGAAGGGTGACCCAGAGGGCCACACACGCCCCAATTATATATCAATGCTCCTATGTTTTTGAAGTATACGATTAGTTTATGCTCCAGTTTTCCAATCTAACCGTATGAACATTTTGTTTTTCCATTCCACTGCTATAGCCTGGCATTGCACCTTTAATTTTATAACCACTTTCCACACAGTAATTTAATATTACAGATGCCTTGTTTATTTATTTATTTATTTTAGGGCACAGTCTCACTTTGGTCGCCCTCAGTAGAATGCCGTGGCATCACTGCTCACAGCAACCTCCAACTCTTGGGCTCAAGCGATTCTCTTGCCTTAGCCTCCGGAGTAGCTGGGACTATGGGCGCCTGCCACAATGCCTGGCTATTTTTAGAAAGAGAGTCTTACTCTTGCTCAGGCTGGTCTCGAACCTGTGAGCTCAGGGCAATCTACCCACCTCAGCCTGCCAAGTGCTGGGATTATAGGCATGAGCCACCGCGCCTGGCCCAGATGCCCTGTTTAAACACTAAATGCTCCCCATCACCTTCAGGATAAAGTCTGTGCATGTTAGGCCTTTGTGATGTGTGGTCCTTGTCTGCCTTCCCCACCTCGTCTCTGCCTGTTCCCCCAAACTTCATGCCCATACCTGGAATTTCTGCTTTTTTCCTTCTGTCCAGAGAGCCCTGGTTCCCTACCCATCCTCTGGCCCACCACCCATAACCTCATCTCATATATTAACATTTCAGAACCCTTGGCTCTCCATCCAGACTCCTTATCCCTAAATCAGAAAAGGGTTCTAGGTTCTTCTCTGTCCAACCCTAAAGGATTTATCAGGATTGCATGGAACTTCAGTAAAAGAGAAAAAATAAATAAATCCTTAAAATAGTCTTTGGAAATAAGAAGCAACTGGCAATAGCAAAAGGCGAGCAAGAAGACTAGGGATTGGTAGGGCATGGGGGAATTTGGATGATAAGGCAGCAGAACAGATTCTGCCTCTTGAAGAATATTTTGGGTGCCTGCAAACTGTGACAACCGAAGAGGGTAGTTTGAGATGAAAACAAAGAAGATCTCCAGCGGCTGCACATGAACAAAGGCAGTGGGATGGGACTGCCTCCCGGCATCACAGGCTGTGACCTCTTGGAATTAAAGACAGGAAAATGTTTTGTTATCTGCTGTTTTAAAGATCTTGGGCCCTCGCTAGATGGGGTGCAGTTTGGCTCCAACCTGACAGCATGTCTGCTCATGTAGCTCTACCTTTTAAGAGTTTCCATATAGGACCTCCATAGGCACATCTAATTTTAGTAAATCATTTCTCCTAGTGGACGTTGAGATTGGTCTTGTTTTTTCACAATGTGCAATCACTGCATATGCCGCTTTGTTTCCACAGGCCAGATTTGGAGTAGCAGAATTACTGGATGAGAGCTATTGCCAAATTTCCTTTCAAGTAGCTTGGACCAATTTAGTCTCCCACCAGGATTAACTGTTTCCACTGACATTCTTCAGCACATTATTACTTTTTTGATTTTCCAATCAAATCAGCAAATTTATGTTTGCTTCCAATTAGAGGGTGGACCAAATTGTCCTGTTAAGACTATATGTAGGCCACATGTTATTTTTTATTACCTCCACACCTCAAAAGCTCTGTTTCATCTCTTCACCTCTCCGTTTGTCCAACCATATAAATTGTACATCCCGTAATTCCAGTCTGAATTTTTTAAGATCTTATTGACTTGAGGGATTTGCATATAAATTACTGAAAAGTTATCATCGAAACATTTGAATATTGTTTTGTTTGTAATCTAATTACGATGACATAACCAAATCTGTAAGTCACGATTTAATTATTTTCAGTAAATGATACAAGAAATCTAATAAAAAAATCAAAAATAAAAAAAAAATAATACAAGAATATTACCCTAGGCCGGGTGCGGTGACTCACACCTGTAATCCTAGCATTCTGAGAGGCTGAGGCAGGTTGATTGTCTGAGCTCAGGAGTCTGAGACCAGCCTGAGCAACAGTAAGACCTCAGTCTCCAAAAAACAAAAATAGCCGGGAGTTGTGGTGGGTGCTTGTAGTCCCAGCTACTTAGGAGGCTGAGACAAGAGAATCGCTTAAGCCCAAGAGTTTGAGGTTCCTGTGAGCTGTGACACCACAGCCCTCTACTAAGGGCGACAAAGTGAGACTTTGTCTCAAAAAAAAAAAAAGAACTTTACCCAAAACAAGAAGTTCCTTTAGAAAGGACCACCCTGTACAAAATTGCATCTTCAATTTTCTTACTCTAATCTTTAAAAAATCTGTTCTTTACAGCTGGAAATAATCACCTAATCACATCCCTTAGATTATGTCCCTATTATTTCATGTCTCCCTTTATTACTGACAGATACTCTAAAGTATCATTCATCTATTTTAATTCCTGTTACAAAACACACAATTTGGGATTATCTACTCATCTATCAAATATAAAGTGATTCTTACTTAGATTAATTTCTGAAACTCTCTAACTTGATGGCTACAATAATACAATCATAAATCTAAAGCTTTCTGTTTTCCATAATAGTTCTGCTTGGATTCTTATGCCCAAAGATAACAGCTACTTCTAAAGGCCTTATCTGATGTGTGAATTTCCTTATTTCATAAGATGGTAAAATTCGGTGCAGAAATATGAATAAAGATATTTTTTGTCGTAGTTTTTCTTTTTCCTTTTTCTCTTTCTTTTCTTTTTTTTTTAAGAGACAGAGTCTCACTTTATCACCCTCAGTAGAGTGCCGTGGCAGCGTCACACAGCTCACAGCAACCTCCAACTCCTGGGCTTAGGGTGATTCTCTTGCCTCAGCCTCCCAGGTAGCTGGGACTACAGGCGCCCGCTACAATGCCTGGGTATTTTTTTGTTGCGGTTTGGCCAGGGCCAGGTTTGAACCCGCCACCCTCGGTATATGGGGCTGGCGCCTTACCCACTGAGCCACAGGCACTGCCCAGTTTTTATTTTTCTTCATATTCTTTCATGACATCTTGCAAATTGAAGAATTAAGCCATATAGATCACTTTTTAAAATCAATATCAATGTATTTTGACATGAAAAGAGAGAACTAAAAATATACAAAAACGGATCATAATAGTACTGTATTTACGTTAAATTTCCTTGGTGTTGTAATTGTTAAATATGTTAATTATACCTACTACCATTAACATTTACTTAATTGTAGGCATGACAACCAAATGCAATGCAAGATTCTCGATTGAATCCTGAATTTAAAAAATAAAAAAGCTCGGCTCGGCGCCTATAGCTCAACTGGCTAAGGCGCCAGCCACGTACACCTAAGGTGGCGGGTTCGAATCCCCAGCCCGGACCCACAAAACAACAATGACGGCTGCAACCAAAAGATAGCCGGGCGTTGTGGCGGGTGCCTGTGGTCCCAGCTACTTGGGAGGCGGAAGCAGGAGACTCGCTTGAGCCCAGGAGTTGGAGGTTGCTGTGAGCTGTAATGCCACGGCACTCTGCCCAGGGGGACAGCTTGAGGCTCTGTCTCAAAAAAAATAAAAATAAAAAAATAAAAAAGCTCTATAGACGTGAGGATAATGTGGAAATTGGAATGTGTGACATATATTAGATAATAGTATTATATTGATGTTAAATTTCTATGGTGTTATAATTGTGTGATAATTATACAGAGGATTGCCCTTATTCTTAGGAGATACATGGTCAAGAATTTAGGAGGTTACATATGTCCTAAAGTCAGCAATATACTCTCATGGCTCAGCGCCTGAAGCTCAAGCAGCTAAGGCGCCAGCCACATACACCAGAGCTGGAGGGTTCAAACCCAGCCCAGGCCCGCCAAACAACAATGACGGCTGCAACCAAAAAATAGCTGAGCATTGTGGTGGGCGCCTGTAGTGCCACCTACTTGGGAGGTTGAGGCAAGAAAATTGCTTGAGCCCAGGAGTTGGAGGTTGCTGTGATGCCATGGCACTCTACCCAGGGTGACAGCTTGAGGCTTGAGGCTCTGTCTCAAAAAATAATAAAATTTAAAAAAAAAAAAAAATATATATATATATACTCTCAGGGCCAGACATTGTGGATCATACCTGTAATCCTAACACTCTGGGATTACAGGGTGGGTAAATCACTTGAGCTCAGGAGTTCCAGACCAGCCTGAGCAAGAGCAAGATCTCATCTCTACTACAAAAAAAAAAAAAAAAAATAGCTGGGTGTCTTGGTGGGTGCCTGTGGTCCCAGCTACCCAGGGATCTGCCAAAATATATAACATATATTGTATAATATATCTAATATATAATGTATTATATATACACACACATATATATATTTCCAAACCATTCATGAAAAAAAAAACCTCTGTGTATGTATGAATGTATGTGTATGTGTGTACATGTAGAGGAAAAGATGGATTAAAACAGAGAAAGAATGAAAGAAAATGTGATAGATGATACAAGTGATTAATATACATGATGGCGATGTAGGTGTTCATTGTACTATTCTTACAATTTTTAAACAGGACCGAAACGTTTCAAAATAAAAATCGGTCAGAAAATAACTATGTTCAGTTAAAGAAGGCACGTTTACATTGTATGATGTTTGTTGAGAGCCTGGAGGGGCAATATCTTATATATCTAAAATAATCCCTATGTATGTGATTGGCAATGTTTGGGTGACTCGGTATAAATACTTCAAACATTACTTGGCGCTGCGATAACGGAATTAGTATATTACCTTTGTATATCTCCAAAATGACTGTTAGGATACGGATGTTTAATACAGACTTCAATACTCTTCACTTCTTGAGAAGATTCTCAAGCTTAGAAACAATCTTCTCACGCTGACCTATGCAAGAAATTTTATAAAAAATATCAATATGAATAGTCTGACCAAGCCAGGTCTGTAGTCATGCACAGATAGATAAGCACAAGAGGAAGAATCTCTGAGCAAGTCGAAAGATAATTCAAACAAAAATCCACCCAGGAATATGCTGTCTTTAATGCCAAAAGGCAAGCTTTTCCCAAATCATCCAGATGGCAATTCCAAAAGCATCCTTGCTATAGATCACATTCACTTTGAAGACATCCTGCCACATAGAAAAATACCATCACAAGCTCGCCGAACTGAATAAGCGAGAGTCAGATCCAACTGGAATGTGATTGCTTTGGTCCCTAAAACTACCTAACTGCAACTGAATTCAGGAGTTGTGCTGTCCCTCCAAAATCTTGCTTCGCTTTTGAGGGCTCCTTTTGAAAACGCAGAGGCTAAACCAATGTAATAAGTAGTGGGAAAGAACTGAATAAATTACACAAGAAATATTTGATCAGCGCAGTCACAAATTTGAGGTAAAGAAATTATTTTAGAAATGTCAAAAATGTAACAGGAGGAGGCAAGAGAAGAAAGTGTTCATTCGGCTTGATTTCTCCGTTTCAACCCACAGAATGCTCGCTTAAACGCCCACTCACCTCTGATTTGTAAGCTGGAAAAGCATATTAGGTATCATAAGATCAGATCTGAATTCCAGCAATTAAGGGCTAAGAAAAGTCTGAGGAGGGTAATGGCAGAAAATGTTAACAGAGTTGTGGGGCCTGTTGCCGCTTTTTTCTTACCTTCAGTAACCAATCTGTTCCTTCGGTTCTGTAGAAACACAGAGATGATCAAGCCAGCCAGTGCTCTTTCCAGAAACGTCCGCAAGCCTTTCACTGACAAGACCAAGAGACTAAGCTGCCTGTTGCATGGCTATTTCTTTCTATAACTGATCCCATGGAAAAAGAGCTGTTTTTGCTCAAGTCTGATTTGTGCTCAAGAAGCAGTGGGAAGTCCCGGGAAGTGAGGAGGCAATAACTGAAAAACCCACATCAAGCCACAGAATGGTGTTTCCCCTTTTCTGAAAAATGAAACTGATCTATGAAACTGTCCTTTGTGAAAATACTTTAATGCGACACATTTTGTAAAAATCCTATGTAACAGCATTAAATTTTCTTTCTAGAGCAATAAAATCTCTGGGAACCTGCTCTAGTCAGATAGGACTAGAAAATTCTCAGTGTCATCGCTAATCTGTGATATTTAAGAAGACAATTATTTCTCACGCTTCCTTAGAATTTTTAAACATGCAAATGAAAAAGGTTTCTCTCGCCTAGTACCAAAAGTTCAAACTTCAATAATACACAGCAGGGGCAAGATTGTAGAGAAACAAACACTTTCCCACACTATTGGTGAGATTGTAAACCTATTTAAAGGTATCCAAGTATCGGTCAAAATTTAAATATTCATACCCTTTGACCCAACAATTTCATTTCCATAAATTTATCAAAGTGATATATTTGCACTTATGCATGAAGACTTACATGAAAAGGTATTCGTCATAGTATTGTTTGAAAAAGGAAATGACTGAAAAAGTAATATCCATAAATAGGACATTGACTAAATAAATGAGCATATATCCCTACTCTAAAATACTATAATGCAGTTGTTAGGGTGAAGTGGTTTTATGTCTAACCATAAGAAAAGGTCTCTAAGATAGATTATTTAGCAAGGATGTATGTTCTAATTTGTATGTTTAAGGAATATATATATGTATATATATATATATATGCTTGCTTATGTAACAGAGTATTTTTCTATATGATGAACAAGAAATCAGAAACAAGTAATTGTCTCTCAAGAATGAGAGAGTTGGCTCGGCGCCTGTGGCTCAACCGGCTAGGGCGCCAGCCACGTACACCTAGGGTGGCGGGTTCGAGTCCCCAGCCCGGACCCGCCAAACAACAATGATGGCTGCAACCAAAAAAAAAAAAAAATAGCCGGGTGTTGTGGCGGGCACCTGTGGTCCCAGCTACTTGGGAGGCGGAGGCAGGAGACTCGCTTGAGCCCAGGAGTTGGAGGTTGCTGTGAGCTGTGATGCCACGGCACTCTGCCCAGGGGGACAGCTTGAGGCTCTGTCTCAAAAAAAAAAAAAAAAAAGAATGAGAGAGTTACTAACTTAACTCTTCCCTCTCATCTGGAGGGTACAGAAAGTATGTGTGATTTAATGGAGGTCATGACCATTTCCAGGGAAAAGAGAAGGCCACACTCCAATGGGGGTGTGAATGACAATGTCTTTGCTCTGAAGGATCTTGTGTTCATTCCTTTGAGGTGTTTTACTAAGTATTTAAGGATGAAGAAAATGAGAATTGCTTTCCATTCTATATATTTTTGAAAGTTCTATATGTATTTATTACTTTTTCATTCTAAAAACTATGAAAAATACTATCACAAGCTCGCTGTGATTTTGCAGCCCAAATGTGTTATAATTACACCTTTTCTGGAGGACAGACAAGTCTATCTACAAACGGATCTGTTCTTTTGTCCCAAAGGCAGAAAAATTGAACGTTTCCACTTAACGAATTTGACTTTGTTTACCTTTGGTCGATGATATTTTTAAAAGTCGTATCTTTAAAAGTATACTGGCATTTTCATTTCTGTGAGTCTTTCACTATATTCTGCACTATTTTTTTCATTGAAACTTCCCCTTATGTCCAATTGAAAAGGCAGGTTCTCATGCATAACCTAGAATAAGGACAGTGTTTCACCTAGTCCTGAATCTGACTTGATCTGGAAAACACCAGACTCACTCCGCCCACCGGGGCAGGTTCATTTGCAGAGTAATCCTATAAAATCAAGGTCAAGGGTGTCTCTAAGCTTTTGTAGCCCTTCAAGGACTTCTCTGTGATCAAGAGACCATAGCACCTTCAGGGCAGAACAATGTTTTATTTCACTTTAGTGTAGATTTAACCACAACCATGAGGATACCCTAGAATGGGGCCTACCTACCTTCAGAAATGCTTTCTGGTGGGTTCCCCAAGAACTCACCTGGAAGTACTATGAAATAACCATTGTGGGGCGATTTTATCTCCTTCAGGTTGGCTTAAGTCGCGTGCATGGTTTTTTTTTGTTTTTTTTTTTAGACAGAGCCTCAAGCTATCCCCTTGGGTAGAGTGCCATGGCATCACGCTCACAGCAACCTCCAACTCCTGGGCTCAAGCGAGTCTCCTGCATCAACCTCCCAAGTAGCTGGGACCACAGGCGCCCGCCACAACGCCTGGCCATTTTTTGGTTGCAGCCATTATTGTTGTTTGGTGGGCCCAGGCTGGGGATTCGAACCTGCCACCTTAGGTGTATGTGGCTGGCGCCTTAGCCGCTTGAGCCACAGGTGCCGAGCCGCACATGCATGGTTTTATTCAAATGCAATATGCAGAACTCTGACTATACTCTTCATTTTATCTCTTAAGTTACTCCTTTTATGGAAAAAAACCTCTTTTCCAGAAAAAAAAAATCTGTAATCAGAAAGTGGCATTATGTCAAGTAATCTTACTATTTCTCTTTTGATAAAACCTGAGTGTATGAAATTGCCTTTAAACTGCTTTCTGTTTGCTGACTATAATAAAGGAGAATTGTATCCTTTGTAGCTGAAATCTTACGATTTTTCGATCAATCTTCTGAATAGTAGGTAAACATTATTGCCTTAATTTCTGCACCTCAAAGTGGATGTTATTCCTATTATTCTACTATTTCTTCTGGTGTAAAAAACATCATCCAAGTTATTTCCATTATGATATCATTCACACCTAGCTCACCCCCAATCTTCAAGTTTCCTCCACCCAGGTCACCATCTACTCACTTCCACAAGCTCTTATCAGCACTCTAAATCTCTCTCAACAGTATGTCCTTCTGTCACATCCCACTTGCCAATTTCTAGTCCCAGTTAAAATCCATTACTGCCTTTCCATAACTATAGAAATATATATTAGCACATATATACATATGTCTATATAGGCTTGGCTCCTGTAGCACAGTGGCTATGGCGCCAGTCACACACACTGAGGCTGGGGGGTTACAACCAGCCTGGGCCAACTAAACAAGAATGACAACTGTAACAAAAAATGTCTGGGCGTTGTGACAAGCACCTGTAGTCCCAGCTACTTGGGAGGCTGAGGCAAGTGAATTGCTTAAGCACAAGAGTTGGAGGTTGCTATGAGCTGTAACACCACAGCACTCTACTGAGGGCGACATAGGGAGACTCTGTCTCGAAAAAAAAAAGGTATATATATACATACACACAACTGATCCATTCATAAATTTATTCCATCAAACCTCAGCTATCTCAGGATAAATTCTTTGCCTTTCTGAATATCCCCTCCAACCACTCTCAATACTTAACTGACTCAACTAAATCTATTTTCTCAGAATTACCAAGGCCCCTTAGTCATCAAGTCTAACAGCTTTTTTCTATATTTTCTTTGACGTTTCTATAGTATTTGACACTGCCCATTATTTCCTTCTCTTTTTTTTTTTTTTGGCCAGGGCTGGGTTTGAACCTGCCACCTCCAGCATATGGGGCCGGTGCCCTAACCTTTGGAGCCACAGGTGCCGCCCATTCCTTCTCTTTTTTAATAGTTCATTTTTTAAAAATCACATTGGAAAAAGGCCATAAATGGCACAAAAATATAGTCACATGTCACCTAATGAAAGGTATACATTCGGAGAAATGCATCATTAGTCGATTTGGTTGTTGTGCAAACATCATAGAGCAGTGGTTCTCAACCTTCCTAATGCTGCAACCCTTTAATACAGTTCCTGTGGGTCGCGACCCATAGGTTGAGAACCGCTGTCATAGTGTGTACCTACACAAACCTAGAATGTCTAGCCTACCACATACCGAGGCCATCTGGTGTAGCCTCTACTCTTAGGATACAAACTTGCACAGCATATTAGTGTACTGAATACTGTAGCCAACTATAATACAGTGGTAAGTATTTGTATATCTAAAGATAGGAAAGATACAGTAAAAATAGGGGATAAAAGTTAAAAAATGGTACATCTGTATAGGGCACTTATCATGAATGGATCTTGCAGGACTGGAAGTTGCTCTGGGTAAGGCAGTGAGTGCTGAGTGAATGTAAAGGCCTAGCCCTAAGGCATTAACGTAGCCAACCATAGACTTTATAGATACTGTGCACTTAGGCTACACTCAATTTATTTAAAGACTAAGTAATTGCACTATGACATTACAACAGCCTCACATCACTAGGCAATAGGAATTTTTCAACTCCATCATAATGTTATAGGACCATTGTCATATATGCAGTCTTGTTGTTGACCGAAATGTTCTTTGGTGCATTGCTGTACAGTGAAAATTAAACCTCTTTTACTATCTCATCTTAGCTCTCAGGTGTCCTCCCCAGGGGCATTGTCACTATTGTCAGCTTCTTGCGTATCAATCCAAAGATTATCTGACCTCTTTTGCATACATATACAAATTGTAGGATACTATGTGTGCTATTCTGTCCCTACTTTGTGTTGTATGAATTTCTTGCTACCAGTACTTAGCGATCGACCTCATCCTTCTTAATACCTGCATAGATTTCTGGTATGGATGGTGCAATGATAATGTATTGAACCAGTTCTTTATTGATGTAGCCCCTCTTTTAGAAAGGCCTCCCACCACCCAGATGATTTTGGGTCATTGCATACTGCTAATTATTCTCTCCTGTGTTTCCACTTTCTCCTTTCTAATCTCTTTCATTGGGCTTCCTGTCCACTACGCATTTCCTAGAAATAAAATTCTCGGTCTTTTTTCCTTTTTTTCATGTCTTATCTCGGCAAACTCATCAGCTGCCACGCTTTCTAATTATCTTCTTTGGGTCCTGATGCCTCTATCTTACAATCACCGGATTGTCAGTTATGAACGTTTGACTGCTTCACATAAATAAAGCCAAATCTTTAATCTTTTGGCCCCTAAATTCATATCTTCTTTTTATAGCATTACCCAAGCTCGGTACCTTGAAGTTCTCTCTAATTTCATCTTGTTCCCAATCTCTACAATAACTTACC